GGCGAAATGTTGTGCAGTGGCATATGAGAATAAAGAACTTTATTTCCGCAAAAAAAAAGAAAAAATACATATCACAGCAACACTAAACTTCACTGTTTTATTTCGTAAGACTTATTTTGTTCTGCACTAATACCAACTTTTTAGCAAAAAAGGAAGTTTTCTGGGGTGGTTTTCTAAAACAAAACTTCTAAGAGGATCTTATTTTTGTTCGCAGTGAGCTTTCTGAGGATTTCATAACTAACTAAGGAAATTTTAACATCCCACGCATTCGCCTCAAACAGATCTATTATATTAAATAATTTGAGTGACAAATGTTAAGGACAGATTGCATTTACATTTACGGTCTTTTTGCAGCAAAATTGGCGCCAACGTACGGTCCGTAGCCACAGGGGCCACAACCACCCATTGGCCTTCCGCCGCCACCACCACCCCAAATTCCACCGGCTGGTGGCCTCCCACCTCCGGGCAACATTCCACCAGGACCAGGCGGCATTCCGCCAGGACCGGGCATCATTCCACCACCACCACCACCGATACTTCCCCACGGGAAACAGTTACCGCTGCCGCACCCACTGCTTATTGAATTTGCGTTGTTGTTGAAAGACTGAAATACGGGACTAATTGACATTCAAGAAAACAACCCTTTGAAAAACAGTAGCAGCAGGCATAACTTTGCTTTTTTTTCATCTGCTTGAAATCGAGGACAGCACTGCTTAGTTTTTGCATGCCTTTTCTATGTATGCAGCTTAAGGTGAAACGCGAACACATTATTTTAGCATTTGGTATACTACCGCGTTACCTGTTCTTGTCATTCCTTCCTAATTCTTCCCTTCAATGCGCTTTTGCATATATACAAGTGCAAAAACGCGTGTTAGCATGAAACTGTTGTGTGTTACCCATTTTCAACTCGAGAACCAGAAAAGCTAGAAGGCTGAAATTTTGGAAGAATTCTTCCTGTTCAAATATAACTTAAATATTTCAAATTCAGCCTACAGGTACGAAATGGTTCTCGCGCACGGGCACTTAAAATTTTGGCGGGAAAAATGCTCACCGAACAGTTAGGTACTTCCAAAGAACGATTGTTAAAGGAGAATTATTCATTTCCTGCGTGTAAAACTTGCGATGATTTATGCTGGTGAGCACAAAAGTTAGGAGCAATAACTATTTATGCAGTTAATGACCTGAGTATTTCATGTCTGACCCAAAAACGCATGGTAGCATCGACAAGGCCTGTGCATTTCAACATGGGTTTATTATTTCATGCGCAGCTTCGAGGCGAAACACAGTAAACGATTTTTGGAATTTATCATATTCACGCTTCCGGTTCACATGCCTTTTTCAATTTCGTCCTTCTAAGCCTGCACCGTCGGTACTTGCAGTTATTCATCTGATTATGAGCGACATATCAAAACTTTTCTAATGCATGCACTCCTCAATCATTCGCCTCGATGGCACACTTGCGTTTGTTATGGAGTTAAATCTGCCGTCAGCTTGATTGTAAGTATTACCCAAAAGAGAGAGCCGTCGGCAGCCTTACCAATGTCTGGCTGCCGCTGGCGGTTGCTACCAATATTGGGCAGAGCGGGAAACTGATGGCGCGCTGATTTTGCGAACTATTTCGTAAAGGTCATTTGGCTTGGTGATCTGCCGCTTCCCGGTGATCAGTGTTGATTTCTACGCGCGAAAATCCTGTATATAAATGTGCGTGATCAGTTCTTTCTATTGTTTTGTTCGCGTCAGTGCGTCAACAAAGCTTTCGCCACGTCATCTGTGTCCCACTGCAGTTCATTCGAGAAGAGGCAGCAGCAGGGACGTACAAGCAGGCCCCGAGGAGTCTCGTCAGGGCGCGATTCGTCAGCGCTAGGCGAGGCGCGCCCAACACCAACTTTTGAGTGATTCCAACTTCTACAAAGAGTAAATGCGGACGGAAGTTCGTCTTCATCCTTTCAACAAACGTATCATTTGGATTTGCAAGATGCTTCCCCATCAAATTTATTGCAAGTTAAACCAACGAAGTCAGCCAACCAGCGCAGTGCCTTTTTGTTATTTTAAATGTTATGAGTTGTGAAATTTGCCGTACTACTCACTGTAACTTTTCAACACGTTTGGGCCAGTTTCAGGTAGAATTTTGCATAAGAAAGATTCATACCCGTTCATGTTTTTCTCTCGACGAAAAGTGATTAGGAATTGTTTTGGAAACACAGCATGTAACAGATAAGAAAAAACAGACTCTTGGGAAGAAAAATTGGGGAGCAGGTGTGAACGCAAGCTGGCTGCATTTCAACTGCACTTAGAGTGATAAGAAGCCTAGTGTCATGAACAGAGCCTTCTTTTGTGAATGGGTGTGGGATGGAAGGGAATCGAATAAATCCTATTCAGATCCGGATGCGGCGTCTTACTCACTATATCGTCAGCTCGTGTGCTCCAGGTTAAACCTGGATTCATGGCTAATGTATGTGGCTAACACCCTTAAGGGCGCATACTTGCTTCTTGCTGCCTTTCTTTAAGAAGTAAGACAGATTTTTGTCGGCTTTTTCTTTAGCTTTTTCTTCAACACTTTTTTTGCACGTATAGCGTGACACAAGCAAATCTTCAAGATTTTCTGTGAAAGTGAAAAATTCGGTATCTAAAAATAATCCTTAGCGAAATCTTTTAAAATAAAATAAACAAACATTGTCGCCCACGGTATTCCCATTGAAGGAGTTGACTGCCTGAGGAGCTGAATCCGCTAATCCAAATATTGTCAAGAATCTGCAATGGCTTTTCCACTGGGTAATTATGTTGAAATTTTTCGCGATTTGATAAGATGGCACATAGAGTTTAAGCAAAGTCGTGCTAACGGCTCATCCCTGTTTTTTAAATTTGCACTATGTTTATTTGACACTTTGCAGGGTGTTTCTTCAACTTTGCAGCTAGCCCTCCGGTTGATTTAATCAATGATGCATTGCCTGCTATCAGCATATTGGCGATTTTGGTGTCCGTTTCAATGAAAGGATTAGAAATTCATTTATTTCCTTGACGATAGGCATAGCTTTATTTTTTTTTTTTGAAAC